TTGTTTGTTTTTAAAAGTTCGTGGAATTACATCCATTTGCCAAGTTTTATTGAAATCGGTTACCGGGAAACCCCATCCCCTAGTTTGCCATCCTTAGAGGTGGAATATTTTCTTCAAATTTGAATGGGACCAATACTGAGGTACCCACTTTCCAATAAAATAGAATCATAAAAATCGGTTCACAAATATATTCAAAATAATCCAGTCCAATTGAGAACCTTCTCCTTATTTAGGAAGTCCATTAAAAATAATTTTATTTCAAATGTGCAACAATCGCGAAAGCCTAAGTAAGTACTTACTCGATAATGCACAATGTTGAAAAATAATTATTACATTTCCATTTCTTTAGTTGTATGTTCACCATGCTATGTTTGGGAAAACACAAAGACAAATTCATCTTTCCTAAATTGCGTCATTAAAAATGCATGGGCGACGTTGTATGATGAAATATAAGACGTAAATAAAACACAAAGATTGATCAAGTTACGTTACCTTAGATTAGTTAATTCAGATGTACTTTACAGTTAAACTTAAGTAGACAAATTAGCTGATTTAAGATTTCATCACCCGGAAAAAGTTTGCAACATTGAATGTTTGCTAATGGCAAAGTTACTGTAACGTTTACATTACTGAGACGAATTATGAAGGATCACTTTGAAAGCGTTTCTTACCACACACATTATAAGTACTACAGAGGACTCCTGAGCGAGTACAGTCAACTAAAAAATTGCTGATCATCTTGAGATATTCATAATAACAAGTCGAGAATAAGAATAATCAGAAAATTTTTCTTTTTAATTTTTTTTATGTTACCAAGGATCGGGCGAACAAGTCGTCCATCTAATTGCAGTGCAGTTCAGAGTTTTAAGTTGCAAAGATCTGAGGGGCACCGCCACTGCGTCTGTCACCTTGAGACATAAGTTGACAAGCCCCCTGTGCCTGTTATTTAACCAGCACCCTTACCTTTCTTAGTAGCGATGCGCAACTTTGAATGTTAGTAATACTAATCATTCGAATGGGCAAGTTGATCACCGCCCAAAAGCAAGCTGCGGAATTTCGATTACAGATCTTTGAACAGTGGCCGTCTTCAAGTAGTAACCAGCTGAAGTCAGAAATTTCGATTCAGAGTTACTGAACACGTCAGTATCGTTAATCTAATTTAGATATTCTACCAAGGCCTTGTAGAATGGTGTCCGCCAACGAGCAGGGGCTGTCGACGCTGGCGTAGAACGTACTGTGGTATTGGCGGGATAAAAAAAGGATCTGAGTTAATAGAGAGGGGTTACTGAGATATCTCCTGATTAGGTAAAAAATTTAATGAGAAACGCCAATTTTCGCCTTACTTCTCGATATTTGTAGGACACCATGCTCAAATGAATGATATAATATACATTTATTTATTATTTATATGAAGTTTTTTTTTAAATCGCAGAAATGACTTCTGGATTCGTTCTCAGATTGTAACGTATAGTAAATTATGGATATTCCAGACTGCACAGCCACTCCCTAATTTACAACAATGAAGGCGTTATATAGATTACACAATTATCCATTATTCTAGTTCTAATGCTCCATTTGAGATGATTTATCCTGTATTGTGTATTATGCTGTGTGTGATGTGATGTTAAGAGCTACCAGAGAACATTTATAATTAACGTTAAGAAGAGCGTTTACGAGGCAGGCAAAGCGTTTAGTACTTATCTCGCCCTTACGGAGGTTCTATAGCTGCGTATAAATGATATCGGCTATATCTTGTTACCCATTTAAAAAGTCACGAGAAAGAAAGATGAGCAAGTATGTGATATGTTTTTGATTAAAAGTTGGTTGTTCTCAATTCCACAATTCCACGTCTATATATACGTGTTTATTGTTCTGTATATTTTATCGACAACATCCATTTTAATAGATACTCAATATTATGTCGAAGCGCGATAAAATGACATTGACTTAAAACAGTTTAATATAAATGATAATAATATTTAGTCTACATATCGATATCTCCCACGTAAGTTGCTGTAAGTCATATTACCATTATATATTTTTATGCATATTATCCCACTATAGTCCCACTGTTATCCACTTGCAATGTTTCATCAAGTTTTTAGATTTTCGTGTTTAATAGTATTTTTTTAAACAAACCATGTCTATAGTTAATACAAACTACTATTCTGAACTTTAATTACCGAAGTTATTAATTTGAATACCTAATTTTTTATTTACCATAGAACATTTCAATTTAAGCTACGTATGATTTGCATATATATTTTATTTAATAATGTTAACTTTTCACTAAAATAATAATAATAATAGTTAGCCTTTTAGCGTCTGCGGACTAAAGCACATAACGTCGGGGATATTGCAATTACGCGTAACTAGCATTTGATTATGAGTTTCCATTTCGCTAATTTAGTCGCCAAATGAAGTCCGTGTAAATGTGGCAACCAAATTAGCGTAATTTACGGAAATCTTTTGTTATCAGTCCGTAGACAACATAAATCAATGCATACTGTGCAAAAATGAAAGTCGTAGCCATTGAAATAACAAAGTTACGTACGTTACTTTCGCGCGCTTTTTACCTATTGGTAAGAAGCGCGTATCTGCACTAAACCAAATTTCATAGGACTAACACGCGGATTTGCACTATCCCCGACAATAGGCCAAAAACCAAGATTTAAATTAATACATCTACCGACTTTTCATTAGTCACAGTTACTTCATTCATTTGTGACTTAGATTTTAGTGGCGTATTTTTCAAATTTATCATTCTCTTCACATATTGCAATACTATAAACAATACAAAAAACTTATAATTATATATAAAAAGTTAAGCATTTTGTTACTTAAGTACTTTAGTCCGCCGACCTTAGTATATAGTCACTGCTGTGCACAAGCTTCATCTTATAATAAGAAAGCTGTAGTTCCCACTCGGGCCCAATACGTACTGGGGACTTCACACACATCATTCAATTGTATTGGAGATGCGTGCAGGTTCCTCACGCTGTTTTCCATCACCGAAAACTCATGGTAGCTCGGAGTCGAAGCCACGACCCTCTGCTTCAGAGGCGGTAGGTCAAACCATTAGACTACTATGGTTATATAAAAAAATTAAAGTACAGTAAACTGTAATGTTTGCAAATAAATAAATAAATAAGTACTAAAAAAACGGGATGTTAGTGAGAAATAATAAAACATATTTTTGTGTTCTTAATGATGTATGACAAAGGCATTTTTTATACATCACACTTTTTACAATCTTTTATTAGTTGCTTTGAGTAAGTAGCGGGTTAATACGCCGGAGGCAATGATCATTTTTTGCGGGGGTACCCGAATCAACCACCTTGGTCCTAACAAATGTGTGGGCAATCCTGTAATTTATTTTTTTAGCCAATAAATTACTCATATGTCAAAACTTTGGACATTTGGGCAGCACCAGTGAGACAAAGTGATATATTGGGGCTTGTCACAGCATTCTACCTTTTCCTACCAATTTTAATACGCTCCTTTCTAAATCAAAACGAGTTATCTGTAAAATTACAACTTTTTTCTAAACTTGTGTTGTGTTGTTTTTGCTATCATTATTTTCTTCGTTGGCACTATAAAGTCATTATGTAAGATATTATTACATCCTTACTAAATTATGAATTACTAATTAGTCGCACTAAATATAATTCTATTTATTATATTAAAAATTTAATTTAAATTTACCAAAAACGTTGAAAACCCAAAATTTTTTACATCAAAATTTTTTTCCTTCATCTGAAGAGATGAAAGAAATTTCAAGTGTACAGTTTAGTAGATATGTTCTTTTGGCACAGCGTAGAGAGTTGAGAGACTCGATTAATTGATTGCCTGTGGATGAATCGTTTACCCTAATGAGTCGGCACAGCTCCCCATAGAGACGGGATGACATGGAACATATTTACCCAAACTTTTAACTCCACACAATATTATAAATATGTATGTCGTATACATCAGTCCCTATTAGGCCCTGTGTAGATTAAAATGTACATAATATGTTAATATCCTCTCTATTAGACAATGTGTACATTAAAATGTACATAATATGTGACGTGATTCCGATCTAGACAATTATTCCATTGATCACGTAAACGCCCAGTGTACATTATGATAAAAAGTATCACATTGAAATAAAGTGCTATACGTTCTATACAACCATAGAGTATTTTTTATCCAAAATGAGGGCATACCCTTAAATCGCTTTTGTCCGTTTTTTGGTACACTTATTCTTACTAAGTCAGTGCCTGTGCCAAAAAAAAATCTCATGTTTATAATAAGTATTTTTCATTTAATTTGTGATAACGATAACATTTTATCTCAATTTAAATTAGTTATAAAAAGTCTGAAATAAATTATTATTATCATTATTATTATTCTTATTGAACGTTTTAGATACTTTTACGTTTGTGTCAGAGAAGAAGTGTATTTAAGTTTGAGTAAGTAATATTTTGTTATTACTACTAACTGAGAAAACAATGTTGTTTTGTTAATTGACAGACAAAGCGTGAGAATGTCAAAGTACTTCCGAGGATTAAAGGTTATTTATTAAATTTAATTGTGTATTATTTAAAGAATTCCTGTATTTTTATATCTAATAGATGAATTTTGTTTTCAAAGTTATTGCACTGTAACACAGCAGTCTTCGTCTTTTTAACCGGCTCGTCTCTTCAAAATTTGGGGTAAGTGAAGTAATTAGTCAAGTTATGGGTGGAAGTGACATTGGTGGAGTCGACTCTGCTTGTGTCGCAGATTGAGATCGACTTTAATATATTTACGAGAACTTTGAAACGCTGAGTTATTATTAAGTTATCTATAAACTCAAATAAAATTTCACGAACATTTATGATCTCAATTCCAGTTCTTTTGGAAGGGTATCAGTATTTTTGTGTTTGACCCACGATAAGTTATTGCAAGTACGCACAGGTTAGGTACTTGTTATCAGAGTTTGGGATACATATAAATATGACTCGTGATGTGTGGCTTGTTACTGGCGACTATGGCTCGAATCGTGTTGTTTGCTTTGGCCCTCTTAGCGGCAGGCGGGCTCGCTGAGCCTGTCAAGAAGGTCCTGCCTCAGAAGATTGGTAAGAATTCATATATTTTCACATTAGTTGCCCTTGTTCAATAACAAACGCTAGTATGTATTTACAAGACATTGAACATATCATTTGCAGCGGACCCAGGTTTCCTTCAGAAACAAGTGGAGCTCTGGTACTTGTTCTTCCACGTCCATGAGCCAACCTTCGTTCAGGAACAAAAGACAATCGTTGATACCTGGGATATTGAGAAGAACATTGAATCATACAGCGTATGTAGATTTTTAATATAGAATAAAATGTTAAAGTTAAGTCTGTTTATTTTTTCTTTTGTATTTTGTTTACAGAATGTGACAGCCGTCAAAATCTGCGCCAGGCTGATTGAAAATGGTTTGCTTCCTCGTGCTGTACCTTTCACCATTCTTCTCCCCGAGCACAGATTTGAGGCGGTGACATTATTCAACGTTCTCTTCTCCGCTAAGGACTACACCACCTTCTATAAGACTGCCGCTTACTTTAGGGAACATGTTAACGAAGGAATTTTCGTGTACGTTCTGACTACGGCAATTCTCCACCGCCAAGACACTCAGGGCATCGTCGTGCCACCAATCTATGAAATCTTTCCGTCTTATTTCCACAACGGCGAGATTGTTACCACTGCCCAGAGAATCAATACTCACGGCAAGGCCTGGGCGAAGCAAAACAATGTTGTGATTAGGTGGAACGAAACCGTGTGGCCGTACTTTAATTATGACAACGTATTATCTTATTTCACTCAGGATCATGAACTAAATACATACTACTACAATTTTCATATGGCTTATCCGTTCTGGCTTGGTGGCGAGACTTGTCCTCTTGTTAAGGACAGACGTGGAGAATGGTGGTGGTTTATACATAAGTCGATCGTATCCCGCTACTACATGGAAAGGTTATCAAACGGACTTGGTGAGATTCCTGAGCTTGGTCTCGACGTTGTCCAAGAAGGTCACTTCTCTGGTCTCGTTTACCACAATGGTATCCCATACCCAGTAAGGCCTAACCACTACCACCTCGACCAGCCCTGGTTGATCGATGAACTCACTTGGATCAGCGACTATGAGCGTCGCATCCGTGATGCTATTGAAAGTGGATACGTTGTCAACGTAAGTACAAAAATGTGGTATACCTATAGTGTCACTTCCATTTTGTAAAATAATTTTACGCAATCGTTAAATTTTTTTTAAAGGCCCATGGTGAGCACGTTGACATCACCAAAGCCGAAGCTATAGATATCCTGGCAAACTTGATTGAAGCCAACGTCGACTCTCCCAACACTCACTACTATAGAGACTTCATTACCCTGTGGAAGGGTGTTCTTGGCGGTTCCGTAGTCCATGAACACGTTGTACATCATAACAAGTACGAAAATCTTATTCAGATAGGTACCTAATCTTTACATTTCATGACTATAATATATGAATTAAAATATTGTTTCTGTTACAGCATACCGCTTGTTCTGCCTACCGTCTTGGGACATTTTCAGACTTCTCTCCGTGACCCCGCCTTCTGGATGATCTGGAAGCGAGTGCTGAGGCTGTTCACTTTGTGGCAGGAGCGACTTCCTGCTTACAAGCCTGAAGAACTTGCTCTGCCTACTGTTCAAATTAAAAAGTTTGAGGTAGACAAGCTTGTGACATACTTCGAACTCACTCATGTGAACGTCACCAACCATCTCCACTTGGATGAGGAAGAACGTAAGATTATACAAAGTACTATTAAATACTTTTCTAAATAAATCATATCTTCATTGATTCAATTAAATTTTACTTTTAGGTCACAGGCTGTATAACGATGTCAGCGTCCTTGTTGAGCGCCCCCAGTTGAACCACAAAGTCTTCCAAGTCCGTTTGCATGTAAAGAGCGATGTTGCCAGCACTGTTGTCGTTAGGTTCTTCCTTGCTCCCAAATACGACAGCTATGGCTATGAAATTCCTCTGCACAAGAACTCTGAGAACTTTTTCTTGGTCGACCGGTTCATATATGATTGTACGTATGATAATTTTCTTTTTCTACGATATTTTCTAATACGAAATATTGTTTCATCATTACTGTTGCTCTTACAGTGCCTCAGGGTGAGACTGTTATCAAACGAGACAGCACTGAGAATATAAACATCATTAACGATTGGCCTACTGGTTGGGAGACCCTTGTCAAGGCTGAAAATGCTCTTCGCGGCGAAGGTCAATTTGTTCTTGACCAGACACACAAATGGACTGGCTTCCCTCAGCGCTTTATACTTCCTAAAGGTTTGTTGCACATTTTATTAACAGAGTACGAGATAGGATAATTTTCTTTCATGACTGAAAGGCTCTAAAATTATTATTTGATATCTTCTTCCAAAGAGATATCTAATGTGCAATATTTTTCAGGTCGTGTTGGCGGTATGCCTTTCGTCTTTGTGGTTCACATCACAAAGTACCGCGCGTCTAAGGTGCCCTACGGAACAGGTTTCGACCCGGCCACATCTATGGGGCTTGGTTCTGGTGCTATTCGCCTTACCGACGATCCTCTTGGCTTCCCATTTGACAGGCCGCTGCACTCGTGGCAGGTTGAAAATCTTCGTAACTTCCACATTGACGATGTTACCATCTACCACAAACCTACTCCTGAAATCTATGTACCTTTCACTGAATAATTAAAGACTACTAGCTTTGAAAAAGGTTATATATACATCGCTATATTATTCATACAATATGGTTTTAAATCCCACCAAAGCAATGTTAGATAACCGTGTTGGAAATATTTCAATTATCATATTTATGATTAAGTATTTTATTTTTATTGCAGAATATATAATGCATATGTTAGACGTAATGTTCGCTATACTTTATTTATCTGTTTGTAATTTTTGTTAACATATTTAGTATATATATATATATATATATATATATATATATATATAGAGACAATAATATTTAACAGATCTATCACATTCAACCCTATTTATATAAATATAAAATTGTAAATCCGATAAATATGTGACTCCAAGTCTTTGTAAACAACCACGACCAGCAAAATAAACAAAATTGTATAATTTGTATATTTCTTTAATATCTATTTTTAATGGTAATTCAAACCGGAAACCAATTTGTTACTACCCGAAGGAAAGCGGTTACCGCTAATTATACACATTTGCGACATATACTAAGAAGGTAATCTCTTGGCAATTGATAAATGCTTCGGAACTGCAAGATAGCAGTTATTGCACTAACCCTCCGTATCCTTTATCTTATGTGTATTCTGATATATAAGTACTGCTTTGAGGTGCTGATACCAGCCCAAGCATTTAGCATAAACTGACTAGAATCCTCTAACAGGAATTAGTTGCGAATAAGTAATTCAATGAGTAGTTTATATTATTGTCACGTAGAAACTTAAACTTTTGACCAAAGGTTGTTATTTACAGTTTCTGCGAACTTGTACTATGGATAATAGACAGTGATCTATTTAGATCAGGATTCAGGTAGCAATAGAGCTCCTTATTTAAGAGATTGTCCAGGGAAGGACCGCTACTTTATCTATTTCTCCCGCTAAGAAGTAATATGAGCATTACTACTGCGTTCCAGTTTTCAAGGGTGCTGGTGAAATTACAGGCACAAGGGTGTTGAGCGCAGTGGCAGTGCCTCTTAGATCTTTGCGATTTAAAGCTGCGGCGTGTGGTTTACCACCAGACGCGCGACTTATTCTTTCCGTGACTAGGTCATAAAAAAAAGTTTGTTTCAATCTATGACATTTAAAAAAATATTTTATATGACAAACGTGAAGAATTGTCTATTGTTAAAGAGCAACCCCTGAGTTTCTTACTAATTCCTCTCAGGGAACGTGCCTTAGGTACGAATGACTTTTAGTAATAGTTAGGGCTCCTTGTGAAAGAGTTCGTCTAAGGAAGTACTGCCATCTTACCTATTTCTGCCGCCAAGCAGTAATGTGAGCTTTACTGTGTTCCTGTTTGCAGGTGAAATTACAGGCACATGAGACTTGTCAACTTACGTCTCAGAGTGACGGGCGCAGTGGCTGTGCTCCTAAGATCTTTGCGATTTAAAGCTCTGAGTGGCACTGCAACTATCATGGATAGACGTGTCACTAGGCGTACAACTAGTCCGTCCCGTCACTTGGTATTATGAAAAAAATAGGTATCTTGTTAAATCAATTTGACGATTCCAAGTGTAACATTTTAAGAATTTTAATATACATTAACTTTCTATATATGTTATTAGTTGTAGTTTTGAACAAAGTATGGTAAAACTTATGCAAATTAAAATAGCCTCCATACAGTCATTTTTTTTAATAATGTGAAATCTATGTTTATTTTTTCTCACTATAATTATACAGTGTAATTAATACGTACCATATCGTTTAATCCAAAAGATAAGCTACAAATGCTTCATACATTACTTTTTGATAAATTTTTGAACTTTGTATGTTATGAACAATTAAATCTAATCAAATATCTTTATTTCATTAAGGAAATTACTCTTGAAATTGTCGCATAGATTAAAATTACCACTTATCCTTATCCGCTACCTGTACTCAGTAGTGGAACCTAATAGGTTGAATAAAATAATGCTGATGATGATGATGACACATTAATATACATAGTTGATGACACGAAAGAAAGCTTACGCCAAGAAAAATTTCTTCCAGCCCATCCCAGTAGGGACAAACAGAGGAGAAAAATTTAAGTCTCCTCGAAAAATATCGTGCAATGATCGTAAAGGCGTTTTGTGCAGAGCAGTGGGACGTACCATCTGGATCGTGTTATCGGTGTCGAGTGCCGCCCGTAGCCAAATACGGCTACGCCCAATGAAAGGCTCTTAATGCTCTATTACGAAATATAAAAAACCGTTTTATTTCCCAAAATATGATAATAATATGCCTTGACGACTATGCATTACGTAGTATGCATATCTTTATTATTTACCAAAATCTTTTACAATAGAACAATTTTAGACTTTTATAGACCTTAGTTATTTCTACAAATTTCCATATGCCTTACTATAAAAGAAAGAAAATGCATTTTAAAATCAAAATTACGATGTTTACTGCCATCTATTTCATGCATACAAAACTACGTCGTTATTTGTCATAATTTAGTTACGGAGAGAGAATACTGAACAAAACTACTATCACATCTCAGTACATCAAATATTCACTAGATGGCGCAGTACAGCGTCCTTTAGTGTCGAGTAGAAGAACTAATAACTAATTACTACGAAAGTATCTATTCGATAATAGATGTCGCGACCAGTATTCTCTTTAGTTTTTCTGTGATAGTTATTGTAATTAGAAAACACGTCTTAAAAATATTCTTAAAGGTAATTAATTTCATTTATTAAAACTTTCTGGAAGCCTCTCAATATTTTTAGGTAGGTATCCTGGCCTGAGATTTCCACCACAAACGACACCCCGGGTCCAAGAGAAAGGGCATATCTTTCCAAATCGATAGTAAAAACGCATTTCGCTTAAAGAAAAAATAATTTTAATAGTAAAAGATAAGCACGGGTAAAGGTAAGGCGGGTTATATATTAAAGTTATTTCTTTTTTAAAGTTGATTCTTAGTACTAGTGTTATGGAGCAAATGCACAGTAGAGAAATATTGCAAAAACATGGACATTGTGTGATTGCAAAACGATTTTTAGGCGCATTACAATCGTTCTACCTTAGTCCTTGCATATCTCGAGTTGGATCAGTGTGATAGATTTATGGCCTTAATTCTTTTATACAAAAGAAACCCGTGTCCACTGGACAGGGCTGAGTAATAAATTGAATTATTGAAAATGTATTTGAAATATAAAAACCATTTTGTATTTATATTTCTTTTAATACTTGATAGCGTTACATATGTTGCTCTGATTCCAAAGTAAGTAACTAAAACACTTGTGTTATAGAAATCGGAAACAATGACAGTACCAGATCCGAGACAATATAGAAATGTTAGACCCGACCGGGATCGAACCCGGGACCTCAGCGACATCACGAAAACCGATATGCAAGCCATTCGACCACAGAGGTCGTTTTAGGTCAATGACTACGAGTATATTGTGTTGTTGAATTTTCAAATACTTTCATGGTGTCCAGTTTGTGGTAATTAGTGTATTTTGTAAAAAATAAATGAAGTCTAAATATAAACAGTATTTTGTATACAGTAAATAGTATTTATATTTTCAAAGTACGTCATGAAAGTATTTTATAAGCAATGGTCGGAAAAAGGTGTTCCACGTATATAGAAACATGTATAGATATAGCTACAAGGAGCGACATAGAGTTTAAAACCATCAAATATTAATTAATTACTTTTTTCGAATTTCCGGTTTTCCGGATGTATGAAACTCCTCTCTTTATTCTATTTATGAAGATAAATAGCCGTACATGGGTAAGGCCGTAAAAAATAGCACTTTTTCGTCTTGTAGCGTTTAGCAGTAAATTCCCCTCGTAAATAAAATTTTTAATTTATTATTTTCTTAAGTTCTACTAGCAAATGTCGCCATTCCGTCAATGTGACCATTCTCGTTACTTTTTTATTCTCTGCTTTAGTAAAAGGTCAATTATTTACTGCATTTTTTCAAGGCACCATTAGAATTACTTTAAAATCCAACTTCGACTTCCTAGGTCAGTACTTTTGTCCTACGATGCATGCAGTAAATGCATTTCCGGAAATCCGGAATTCGAACCAAAGTTTCGGGCCCTTTACAAGTCTCATGGTCACAAAGTAGACATTATTAAGATTGCGTCACAACTCTAACACGTTTTAATTTATTTCTAATTTCATTTTAAATAATACATTTAATTTAGATGATTAGTTTAGTTTAATGACAGCTGCGGTAGCCTGGGCGCCTTTAAATTAGACGCTTATAGAAAGCCTGCGGCGCGGCAGCCGCACTTATACTACTTGCAAAGCGACGCGCGCGTGATAAAACAGCGGCTCTGCGATTACGTTTTAGAGTTGTATAGTTCATGAACTACGTACTATTAGAAATATATTCTCAACACTGACCGACATGAACTAGTTCGTCTTTCACGGTCTTAATAGTTCATCGGTCTTTTCAAGTTCAGTACGAACTAGGAACCGTATACGTAGATAGTTCAGCTGTCATTTATTCAGTAGGCATGAGCGGAACAATTAGCGATCTTTCATTGCTTTTAGTACAAGTTCGTGTTGAGACGTACTACTGAACGTTGCCAGTTCGTTTTAAGCCTCTAATGCGTACGTTACGTATATGTATAACGTAAGCTTATAAGAAGGTAAGCGTTCATATTTTTTTATAATGCCACGTGATGGGACGAACAAGTCGTGCGCCTGATGGTAAGCTACACGCCTGTTACAGTGCCACTCAGAGCTTTAAATCGTAACGATCTGAGGACTGCAACTGCGCCCGTCACCCTGAGATATAAGTTGACGCCGAAGTCCCATGCGCCTGTAATTTCACCAGCATATTGACATTAGTGCTTGGCGGCAGAAATGTGTAAGGTGGCAGTACTTCCCTGGACGAACTCTTTCGCAACGAATTCTGCTATTATTAAAAGTTTTTAAGTTTTTAAAGTTTTGGTAGGTATATATTATATCTGTATGTATAATATTACCCTACGTGTATATGAAATCTTTGTAAATATTGGTTTGCAAATACA